CAAATGAACTGTGGTCCCTGGGGTACCTTCCGTTCAGGTTTCTGAACACCTGGCTGCTCCCACCTTCCCAAACACCTGGTCTGAGTCTCATTTTCCATTCCTCTTTTCCAGCAATGGTTCAACATGTACAAGCCCATCACGGTCAACACGGAGCAGCTCTCAGAGGCAGCTGATTTGTTTGTCAACAAGTTGGACCCAAATAAGGTTTTTCGCAGCAAAACCAAAATGCCCGTGGTCAAGAAGAGGTCACCGTCCCAACTGGCCACCTCCCAGAAGGGCCAGACAGCAGGAGGGTCCCCCCGGAACCCTTCGCAGGGTGGGAGCTTGTCAAGAAGGCGTGAAACCCAGCCTTGATCTCCCTCTGGGCCCCCAGGAGGTGCCCAGCCTTTCAGCTCCATATCGCTCCTCCTGCTTTGGAGGACTTTAAATTTATTGCAGAATATTTATTGCAGAAGCCTCAGAGTCCTGGCTGAATTTCCTTTGGGCCACACCTGCGCATGGGGTTGACTCTTCCAAAAGACAAAGGGGGAAAAAACGGGCTGTTTCAATGCACTTGCTGTCCTCCCCGTTTTGCACAGATTTGTTCAAAATCCAAGTAAGGCTAACTTGCAAATCTGGATGGGCAATCTAAGGACCACATTTGCTCTTCTATTCCCCATTCCCCCCCACCCGCATTTTCTAGATTTTATGACACTCTTCCCCCAAACCATCTTAGTTTTGTGGTGCAGGACATCATTGTTCCCCACCAGGCTGGACCAGGAAGGGCTGAGGTTGAGGTCATATTCTGTGGCAGGCCTCTAAGCGGTGTTTTCTCCAAAATCCTAATCAAAACAGAGGTTTGTAATGCAGATGTTTTCAGTTTTGCCACTTGGATCTTCTCTACCTCTTAATGTGGCATGTCCCTCTCCCCAACCAGATTAAGATTGCAAGAGACCTTTCCTTCCTTTCTTAAAGACAGTGCATTTCTGATGAACTCATAAGGCAGCATTCCCCAACCTGGAGCCCTCCAAAGCTGTTGGGCTACAACTCTCAGAATCCCTCGCCAGGTGGTCCAACCATACTGGATGGGAAGTGCAACATGCTGGGGAAGATGGTCCCAGGAGAAGAGAGAAGCAATCTCCTTGCCTCGGGGGCGAGGAGTAGTAGCATTGTTGGCCTTTGCTGTTTTTCTCACCCTTTTGGCCCAGAAACAACCCTGGGCTCCAAAGAAAAGGTGATGCTTTTAGGATTCTTCTTAAGGAATCCAAGTTACCCATTCTCAGCTGGTTTCTGACCAGAAAAGGACAGGGATCAGTGCTCCTTGGAACATGGACGCCCACTCCTGACTCCACCACTGATCCTAGCATGTGGATTTATTTTTCCAAGTCCCTTTCTCTGGCATCCAGATTCTGTCCCTGATCAAAGCTAATCTGCACGTCTCTTAGGTGGACAGATGACTCCACGTTGAACAAGGTGGCAGTTCCCTAGAGCAGCGCCCATATGAGCCAATAAACTCCAGGTTTCTCCTCCTGTCTTCCCCAAAGACTCTATTCTCTTCCTTGACGGATAGAAGGAAAGCGTGTTCAGATAGCCCAAAAACATGATACTTTGAAAACAGCGCTGCCTGGTCACATGGGAGACGTGATCTCGGCCTCTGGGTCTTGCTTCCAAGATTCTGGATCTGGTGGGGGGCGATTGTGGAAGTCGATCAGGATGTTGTAGATGAAGATCCCAAGAAGGCTCCCCAGCGTTGGGGCCACCACTGGGACCCACCACCAACAGTTGGCTGCTCTGAAAGAAAAAGACACCGCAAGTTAACAGTAGACCCTAAGCTGTAACCCCTGCAGAATTGGTTAGCCATCCTCTGTTCCCAAGGTTAGATAAAATCATGGTGCCTAGCTGGAGTGGGACATTGTGGACATTGTTATTGGACACCGTAAAGTTGGAAGGGTGGTTTAATCTGAAAATTTGCCTAGACCAAGAGGAGGAGGTGAATTCTCTCAAGCTGAGCCTGTGGCAATTGATGGGCATGTCCTCGTAGATTTTATTTATTTATTTATTTATTTAAAAGATTTATATAGCCACCTATCTTGAGCAACTCTCACAGCAACAATAAAACCAAAACCTATAAAACAATCATAAAACAGTAAAAACAATAAACATTGCCAGGATTTTTTTGTTGTTGTTTCTAAATCTGAAACATCTGCCTCTAAGTGATTTTTCAGAACTTCTGTCCATGCTTTTTCAGAACTTCTAGGTCAGTGTTTCTTAACCTTGGCCAGTTGAAGATGGGTGGACTTCAACTCCCAGAATTCTGGCTGGGGAGTTCTGGGAGTTGAAGTCCACCCATCTTCAAGTGGCCAAGGTTGAAAAATGCCATTCTAGAGAGAAAACATCTTTCCACTGCCATTGAGTAACTCCAGAGATGAACAATGTAGGCCCATAATGTGGTCCTCCATCCCTTTGTTTGGGACCTCCATGTTAAGACCAAGGAAACAACAGATTTCAAGAAGGTATTTTAATGCTAATCTGGGATCCATATAGGATCTTGAAAACTACATGAGGAATTTCCAACCTCCTCTATTGTTCCTTCATTGAGATGGTGTCGCACTGAATGATCCGAAATGCTGCTTCCAAGATTTCTCCTCACTTGGGCTGAGTTTCAGTAACTCAGAAGAAAACAAAGACTTGCACAAACACCAAAGTTGTGGGGGGAGACCTGAAAATCCTACCCCTGTGTCAATGTCATTATTACCCCCTGCCCCAGGCCTTGGATGATAATGTAGTAGTGAAACTTTCTTGTAGGTCCAAGAAATTTGGGGTCATTATTGTTTCATGGGTTGCTCCAAAGAAGAATCTTGTCATCTTTGTCTTGTATTAATGCCACATTTATTCAGGAGGAAGGCATTCTTGAATTTAAGATGAATTCATCCCACAAAGGAAATTCCTGTGGGGGGGGGGAACCCTTTTCAACCATTATTGGATACTCAGCTAAGATATGATAAATCTCAGCTAATTAAATGGTAACTTGGGAGAATCTAGGCTTCCTTTTTTTATTTAATTCAGTGAATGATCTAATTTAAGTCTCCCTTTAAGGACACCTCCGTCACTCATTTCCAATATTTATCACTTCTACCTCCATTTCCTTCCTAAGCCTACTGAAAAAATTAAAAATTGCATAAGTGTGAGTCTCAGTCAGGGGAATGAAAGGTACTCTTATTTGCATCGGGACACCCAAAAGCATTCTGGCTTTTTGAAAGATAGCTGTGGATGGAAGGACGCGGCATCTTAAAATGCTTCAATCTCTCTACAAGCTTCTCCTTAATCTTAGCCTCTTGGTGCTTGATGTCTTGATGGCTGGCTCCATTGAAAAGGAGGGCATGAGATGTGGGAACTGTGTGATGAAACTATTCATACAGATATCATCTTTGTGTATGGCATTATCAGGTGCATGGATGACTCCAACTCTCATTTTCCCAGACTGATCACAGCAAATTTGCTGTACCATTTCAGTTTGCAACATGTGTGTGTGTGCATGCGCGTGTGTGTTGCACACTGCCTGGCCAGATCCTTCATGTAGTAATAGCCCTAATAAAATGGGGAATTCCATATATGTACTACCTCGAGTTCCTTGAAACAATACTAGGAAAGCGTTCGACAATACAATACTAGGAAACATTTTAAAAACATGCTTTCTACTTTCATTTGAATCTTATAGTACCTTTTTGGAATACAGAATAAAGGTACTATCCTTCCACCTAGTTTCTGCAATTACAGAATAGTTTCAAAACTTTTTATACAATTTTTATTTCAGGGGGAGAACCATATTAGTCTATGGGTAGCCAGAAATGAGATGGAGTCTAGTAGCACCTTTTCAAACTATATATATGTGTGTGTGTGTGTGTGTGTGTGTGTGTGTGTTAAAAGGTACAAATTCTCATGAGTTACACAAAAGCTTTCATGAGCTTCTGCCTTTTATTGAAATTTGGTAGACTGCAAAGGTGCTAACAAACTTCCTCCTTTGTTTTCAATTATACCACCTATATCAGAGTGTTGAAGCCCAGATTAATGTTAAACCCTGCTGATTTTCCAGGCATAATTTAAAGAAACTAGGATACTCCTAGATGATTTGGGCTTAAAACACCCTCCAGTATTGAACAAAATGATTGTATGTATGTATGTATGGTTGTTTTTTTTAATCCATTCAATCATGTCCATTCTCAGAGAGTGCCTGTACAAGTCCCTGCAGTTTTCTTAGCAAGGATTTTCAGAAGTGGTTTGCCATTGCCTCCTTCCTAGGGCTGAGAGAGAGAAACTGGCCCAAGGTCATCCAGCTGGCTTTGTGCCTAAGGGGGGACTAGAGCTCACAGTCTCCAGTTTCAAGCCTGGTGCCTTAACCACTACACCAACCTGGCGCTCTCTATACAGAGAAGTCAATATAGGAGGTCAGACCCTTGGTGAGTCTAGTGCTATCTCTTCCAACTGCAATATCTTAGCAAAGTTGGTTATGGCCCCATGCTCTGGGCCACCATGACCCCCCAGGATACCTTGATACTCTTAGCTTTCTAAAGACAGTTCTGTTCAAGCTGGTATTTATGGTTAGATGATTGGTGGTTTGATTGTTGGTGCACCATTGCTGTTTAGTAATCAGTTGTTCCTTTTCTGCTTCGATATGTGAGGTACGCTGCCAGGAGTTCTACCAAGGACACTGTGAAGGTCCTTGTCATCAGTAAAATAAATCAGTGCCATGAACTCACCGGAACACCTCTAACCCCCATCCAGCAAGAGCAGTGAAAATCCTGGGGGGCAGATCTCTGGAAGGGTTGATGGCGTAGCCGGTGTTCATCCCCATAGACATGCCAATTACCACAACCAACAGCCCAGTGATGAAGGCATTGGTGCCCGGCAGGGCACCTGCATTCTTCATGTCACTGATGGCAAGGACACCGATCATAAGCAAGCTGGTTGCAATAAACTGCAGAAGAGAAGGACAGGGAAATGAAGGCTCAGGATGGTTGAACAATGGGATGTGTTTAGCCTGCCAAAGTGAAGTTTTAAGGGAGAAATGAAAGCAGTCTTCAGATATCTGAAGAGTTGTTACACTCATTGTCTGTCGCCCAATAAGGCAGGCCTAGAATCAGTGGGTTGGAAGGGTCTACCTGAACCTTCCTTCCTACAAGGAAGGAAGGTTCAGGTAGATCTCCAGAAGAATTTCCTGACTGTACAAGCTACCAATCAGTGCAATGGGCTGCCACATGAATTGGTGAGTTCTCCTTCGCTACAGATCTTCCAACAGAGGTTCTATGAAAGATGCTCCAGTGGGTCCTGCACTGAGCAGGGGGTTGGATTTTAATTCCAATTCATGGTTGTAATTATCATATGAACAAATGTTTCTCACCCCACCAATAGCACAACCCATCATCTTAATAAATATCTCAAAAATTATGAGCCAGCATTATCAACTTACCAATTTTCTAATGGTCCATTAAAAAAGAACGTTCCTGAGAGCTTTCCTGGAAACTAAGGGCAAGAGGACGGCATCTTCCATAGTGTGGAGAGGGGGACATGGCCCCTAACCTCAGCAAGCCCTCTCTAGATGACCCAACAGAAGGGGGTTCTGGAGGAGCCAGTCCTTGCTCCAAGGGCCTCCAAGCTCCCTCCAAGCCTAGGTTTTCTGATGGTCTCAAAGCAGCAGCCAGTTATTGTTCCTGAACTGTCTGTCAAGAAACAAAATCTGCTCCTTTTTCTGGGATTAGCACGAGGGACAAAAGCCAACTGTGGGACAGAGGTCCCCAATGGCTCATCCCCCTGCCCAAAATGCTGCATCAATCAATGCCTTATAAAGTTTTTCCTTCAG